TGTGCCAGTAGCCAAACCAGGTACATAGGCGTAGCCAGGCAAGCCAAGTGCGGTACCATTGTGATTCACAAAGCGAAATGTGATGTTTGCGTTCGGATCAGCAGGTCACAAATGGTTGCGAACCGCAAGTCTGTATGGGACAAAGAAACGATGATTGTCTTGTTCACGGTGATGCGCATGCATGCGACGCATCATAGTTTTGAAACACCGTAAAATACGTGCAGGGAGCGAATTTATAGTTGTGTCAAGGATGTCCTTACGTATACCATCGACTTCCTGAACGAACAGTTGAAACGACTCGTACTGTCCAAAATGATGTCTCGGCTGAGTAACCTTGCTCGCTGGGGCCGCAGGCTGTGTCGGGTGAAACTGCCATACTGCACGCTCGACATACTTGTCGATGCGCTCCCGTTGCAACGCGGGTTCAACACGATCCTCAATTTTCTCCCATGATCCTCCGCACAGAAACCAAGTGGAATGCAACCACCGTGTGCCAATAGGACATTGCACCGTGGGTGGTGGCTGGTACCGCATGAGTTTCGGAACTTTTGCCACGATGACCGGATCATGCCCTTCGTGTTCACGCATGTTTCCATTTTCTGGAACCACTGAAGGCTTTGGTATAAATGTCGGCAGCCATACGGTCCGTAACCTCATAGGCCGGATACATGTAGTCCCGCTCGAACATATCATGCATCCATGTGACAGCAACACCATGGCTTCGTTCCAGATGCCTCATAGTAGGGTTCTTGCCTGATCGAACAACACTGATCATAGCCTTGTTGTCATCGAAGAACACAAACTTCGGCTCCTTACCCAAAATACGCTCCATCAACCTGAGCGCAGGCATGCCCATAGCTCTCATTGCGACATCGGCGGCGACGATTTCAGCCTCAGGGGTGGAATGACTCACACATCCCTGTCGCTTAGAGCTTCCGGACAAAGGAAATCTCGCATTGGGACCTTGAAGGTTCACGTGACCGCCAGATGTCGACCGCAAAGAATCAGCGCATCCAGAAAAGTCAGCATCAGCATAAACTGCCAAATACATATCTTCGACTGAATCTCCGACCCAGCCACTCATCCTCCAATGCTTGGTGTGATGAATGTAACACATCAAGTGATGAAGTTTCTTGTCATCGTCGGTTGTCCACCTGGTGATGTTCCTCGCCAGACGGTTGACCTGCCTGAGCAAGTCAAAACGTGCAATCCTAGCACCGTACAATATTTTCATGAGCACACTGGCTGCATGGGGTGCGAGTTGTCCACGAACAGGCTCCGGATGAGCTCCTTCCGAAGTCCCTCCTGCTTGGCACGATGGAGTTTCATAACCATTCGCGGGAACTCTATTTCCACACCAATTGCACTCGACCGACGGCCCGGTCTGTATCGGAGCCCTCGACGGGTGATCCTTGGTCTCTTCATTTCGAGGTAGCGATCGACACAAGAGCGCAGGAACTGCTCCATGTGGTACGTCACAGTGGTGACCTTATGGCCGTTGTCGAGAACCACAGTGCCTTTGGACTGATTGCGTCCCAGATATAAATCCAGGCCGGTTTCCGGCTCAATGATCAGCTTCTCGCGAAGCAGCTCCCAACCCTTTTTGAGGTTGTTCTTTGGACCAGCCATCTCCACATAGACCGCAAGAACTAATTGTAGTTCAGGATGGGTATAGACAGAAGGCCATTAACGCACCGGTTCATCGCAGTGCTGTTCCCAAAATGTACCAGCATCAGGATGACCGTACAAAGCCTTCACCAAACGCACCACGGGTCTTTTGAACTGATTCCATCGTTCTTTGTCATCCTCAGGAACTGCTTCGGCTGGAAGATCGATCCAACAAGGTGTGCCCCGCAATGTGGCCTGGATCTACGCCTGTACCGCGTCAGCCATTTGCACATGCCATCCGTCAAGGCAACCCAAACGCCGCGTCCGACGTCTGGTTCTCAATCTGGTTCCCAAGCACCACCCCACGACCTTTGTATTTTCTGCGTGGGTCTTCTTCCGAAAGTTGGGAATGTTTCTCAACTATAATACCATGCGCCCTGGCCATGTGCACTTCTTCGTTCTTCTGTTACGGATTACAGATAGATCGAAGACTCCTTGGTCGATTAGACCTTTCCACTCCTCTTTCATGGAGTCCATCACCTTGGTGTTGGTGAGCATCTCGGCCCTTCGCACAGGTCGTGATACCATTGCATTGATGATTCTTGCCACCTTGACTCAGGGCAATCAACCATTGGCGACGCCGCGCAGGTTCGCAAACCCGCCGCGCAGGTTCGCAAACCCAAGTCGCGCGCTGCCAGGTCCTCCCACTCATAAACATATGATAGTTCATCTGTACACTCGGATACACGTCCCTCGTCATGGTGCTCTCTGAACAAGTGTCATCCATGTTCTCCGACAGTTCCCCATCATGGTCGTTCTTTGGGATAGATGCAAGACCTTCCCTTGACTTGGAGTAAACTTCCATGCGTAGATAACCACCAGGATCCCATAGACCTCGTCCAATGTCACATTGCTTGCACCAAGATCTTGAAGACGTTTGGAGTCCATGCACAAAACCGAACCATCGACCGGGTTGACAATGATCCTTGTCCAATCCAGGTACGCCAAGAACTTTCCCTCAACAGGGTTCTTGACCTTATTTGTGTTCTTCCGTACGCCCCAGTTGTACAACCATTGATCACCACCCCATCTTTCTTTGAGCATAGCTTTGATTCTCTTAGCGCTCGGAGCGTTGACCTTTGTACTTTCTGCAGGTGCGGCGTCCTTCAAGCTACCGGTGCCATCCTTCTTCTTTGGTTGTATCTTTCCTTCTTCATCGACATCAATTGCATTCCGCAATATTGCCCATTCTTCGGGTGTGAATCCTGCCGGTCTTGTTGTCTTCATTGTTCTGAACCCATCTTCACCGACTGGATAGGGTCTCCCACGGGCATCAAGTTTGACCATCTTTCCAAGATCATTCCTGTAGATGATACCATCTTTGGCTTTCCCTGTTGATACATGGGGTAGGTCAGCGACGTCCTCAACAGCATCTTTGTCTTCCTTGCTCCCCCGACTTCGACATCCTCACCTTTCTCGTCATGCACGATCCCAGCGATCTCCTCGACCTCATCGAGTTGTCTCTGATCTATATCTTGCAAGAGAGTAGGATCGGTGTCCTCATCCTCGGCCGGTTGCTCTAAATGAACGCCTCTATCATCTTCCCCTCTGATCTCCTCAACACCTTCAAGAGTCTCATTCCTCTTCTTGTATTTCTCTTGAATGAGAAAAGAAACTGGTATCTTCAGAACAATTCTCTCGGTCTGATGTGGCTGGCGTAGTCGAGGTGGAATTTTCGCCTTCCTTATGGAAAGGTCGACGCCGGCGAAGCTTGTGAGAGCCCAGGCCCGACACTTGCGCGCCCAGTGTTAAGACCTGATCTTGCCCACACAGGCCGCAAATCCAGGAATTTGCAAAAACGCAAAAATACTCCAAAAAAACAATCCGAAAAACTCAATCTGAAATAGTCTGAGTCTGGAAAGACTGAAAAGACAAGCAACAACTCAAGCAGGCAAAATGCAAAAAAAAAAACGCAGAAAACGCAAAAAACTCAAAAAAATCAAAAACAACAAGCAACAACTCAAGCAAGGGTCTGGGGAGGGTTCTGGGGGTGGGGGAGGGGCAAAATGCAAAAACAACCGCAGAAAACACAAAAACTCAAAAACAACTCAAGCAAGGGTCTGGGGAGGGTTCTGGTGGGGGTGGGGGAGGGGCAAAATGCAAAAACAACCGCAGAAAACACAAAACAAACGCAAACAAAACTCAAAAGAAGACTCCAAAAAAACTCAAAACAGACTCAAAAAAACTCAAAAAACTCAAATCTCCTGCTGTGTTTTTGTTGTGTTTTGTTTGAGTCTCCTGCTGTGTTTTCTTTTGTTTTTTTGAGTCTCCTGCTGTGTATTTGTGTGTTTGTTTAAGTCTCCGGCTGTGTTTTCTTGTGTTTTTTTGAGTCTCCTGCTGTGTATTTTGTGTTTTTTGAGTCTCCTGCTGTGTTTTCTTGTGTTTTTTTGAGTCTCCTGCTGTGTATTTTTGTGTTTTTTGAGTCTGTGTTTTCAGTTGAGTTTTTTGGCTGAGTTTTTCTGTTTTTTTTTGAGTTGTTTTTGTTCCGCTAAGACCTCTCCTGTCTGAGCCCGTCTGGTCATAAGCCCAGTCGAGACCAGAACTCAGGTTGTAACCAGCCAGAGATACCAATTTCCCCTTTGGGTTCAAACTTCTCTCTCTTGTCTCCCCTCGCATCGCTCGGTTTGAACTCAACCAACGTGCCAAATGGGATCTTCCCACCCTTGAAATGTTCACCATGTAATCGAAACTACGCGCTCGAACCATTGATCTCTTCAACGTTCATCAGGTGGCATAACGCAGTGATAGCATATATCCAATAACATGTTGGAAGTCCAGCATGTACTAGACAAGCTGTTGTTTGGTCCACGATGAACTGGTTCGTGCGTTCGGCAAGCGAATTGTTCTGCTTCTTGCCCGGAAGCGATAGATCATGACGGATCTTCAGTTCAGAACATGCGTTGATGAACTCCGGCGCATCGTCCGAGTAGACTTGCTTGACCTTCCGTCTGCCAGCAAAATGCTTTATGCTGTTGATCACCGTCACGGTATTCTTGCGACCAATTGCATAGCCCATGATGATGCCAGTGTATATATCTCGAATGATCATGACGTACTTGTCATTGTTCTCGGCATCTCCTGCGGCTTCAACCAGATCGAAAGTGATCAAGTCTCCGAACGTCTTGACTTCACGTTGGAATGCACCAGACTTGGATCTGAAACGCCTCATCTTCGCCTTCACGCATGATTCGCAGAACGGATTTCGGTATCTGTGCGTTAGCAAATGTGTCAATGTGTTGGAATCGCCTTCAATGCGCCAATTCTCTTCTTGACGGACGCGCCTTCGTAGATATCGACTTCAACACCTGCTTCGGGGTCAGCATCATCTTCACCCTCAGCTTTGTCTTCTCCCGGCTCGGGCCCACGTCCACGAGCCTCTTCACCAGGTTCTTCGACTCTAGGCGGTGCGGGCCCCGCGGACCGAAATCTACGGCTCCGACGCCATCCTCCTCTCCAGCAAGAGCATATTGGGGATCTCCGACTTCTTCTTCTTTCTCTGCTTCACCACCATCCTGTTCAATACCGACGATTTCTTTGAGCGTCATCGTGTGCTCCAAGATGTCCTCAGAAACAGGTCGACGGCGATTGCTCCTCGCATTTCGATCTCCAACCAAATAGGGAATATCATCCTTGACGTGCAGATGAACAATCTCTTTCTCAGGCGTTATCATGAATGGCAACTTCCCACAAATCCAGTGAAAAGAACATCCCATCTTCATGCATCGTCGACCAATAGATAATACCGTCGGTGTCTCATCCAACAAAGGGTTGGACTGTTTCCTTCAGCTCATTCACGTAGTACTTGATGGAATCCGACGTGGGTGTAGTTTGGAAGACAATCTCGTCCTTGTCTTGAATGATGCCCACACCGAGGGAGGCCGCCTTGGATTTGCCGATCAAGTCATGACCACACCCTGTGTCCATCAGCCATTTTACTCCCTTGCATTGGTTCGCAGACAGGGCGAATAGACTGATAGGTTGTCCGTGCTTCCTCTTCCATTGCACGACTCCCTCCGTAATCTCGTCATCCTCCTTGTCATACTCGAAAGTGAAGGTTCGCTCCTTGTTCATTGGCATTTTGTGAGTTCGATATATGTCATTGACCGCTTCGCTCATAATCTCGGCTCTGATGAGTGCCTTCTTGTGACTATATGCAAGGTGTCGTCGATGGTCGTACGTCTTGAACGTCTTGGCATTGACTGGTTTCGATGATGATTGGGGTACATCGTCAAAGAAGCCCTTGTACCACATCGAGTTTGTCCGCCACTGTTCGTCCTCATTCTTCAGGCGCTCCACCTCTTCGCTCACATCATCGTCAGGAATCTCTTGCAACCACACGTACTTCTCGGGTATGTCAGTTTCACCTGACCACCGCGAAGATTCACTCATGGCGTCTTCTGCATCACGATCGTGATACACAGTCTCGACCTCGGCCTCACTTTCTTCTGCGCCTTTGTCATCCTTCTTGGCTTCCGAAGTCGCGGCTCTCTTGACAGTGATAGCGGGCATTGCAATGTGAACCTTTCTCACAATTGCCGGAGCTGCTGCCTTGGGCTTGGCCTGTGCTTTGGCCTGTTGCTCGGCATTAAGCGCAGGAGCGGATGCTTTGGGGTTCGCTGGTTCAGCGTGCTTCTATTTGCACTGATCCCCTTTGGTGCACTTTCCTTCTCTCCATGCGTAGCAGGCCCCATCCCTCTTCGGTGAAGGAGTCCTCGCTGCTTTGCTGTCGCCTTTGCCCTTTCCTTTGTTGTTGTCCAACTTGCGCTTGTGCTTGGGGTTATGCGAATATGGACCATCTTTCCCTTTGAGACATCCTCCTTCTTTCGTGTAGTGGAAGACGCACGGCCATTCCTTCTTCTGTTCTGGGCCCACGCTTTTCCCTTTGCCTTTTCCTTTGCCCTTCTTTTCGTGGTCTTTCGCTTTCGCTTTGGGTAGCACAGGTGATGCTGTGTTTCCGTCTTCTTCCTTCCCGGAATTTCCTCCTTTTCCCTTTGCCTTCTTCTTTTCCGCTGGTGCAGCATTCTTGTTGCCGCTCAGGGTGTGCATCCGGTAACCGCGCATAGGTGTGAGACCAAATTCCAGCTTTCTGCTTCCTTTGATCTTGTGATAAAGGATGTCCCGGAGCGTGATTTCTCTGGGTGTATCCTCCTTCCTCAGGTTGAGCAATATGTCATACCATTTGTTGCGGAACACGGACATGTTCTTGTCCCCTGGGTATTCCAGTCTGATCAAATGTTCGATGGTGAATGTCATATCCGATCGATCACTTGATCTGAAAGATTGAAAAATGACGGCAACGATCTCTCTTCCCTTGATCAATCTGTTTTCTCTTTGGCGCCGTTCGGAGCGCAGTTGAATATCATGTACCACGTCCTTCGCATCATCAGGCGCACTTCTGAGCATCGTCTGGAGCGAGAGGGCCAGCTTGATATCCATCATCGCAAATCGTTCGCCTCCCGAATCGGCTAGATATTCAAGGTCAGGATTCACCACGAAAGCGCATCCTACCCATGACATCCATACTTCGATATCAGGGTCTGCTGAAGCGAGTCACCCCTCAGTAGAGCTCGTCCACGATCTTTTGCGTCCGCCGCGATGGCGACTTGGGTGGCGTTCTCGCTCTCGAGTTCCTTGTTCGTCTCTGCCAGCTGGTACACGAAGCTCTCTTGGATCTTGAGTTCTCGTCGTCTCTCTTCGGACATTGCAGCGATCTGGCTGAGGTAATCGGATTTCGCATCAATAGCCTTTTGTCTTGATGCAACGAGTTCGCGAGTCACGTCGACAAACTCCTGATCCCTCAGCGTGGCGCGCTCATGTAATGCGTTTCCTTGATGAGCTCGATCTCTAGCGATCTTGATCTCCTCATTCATCTTTGCGTCACGTTCCTGCACTGCACGTTGTCCAATCAAGTACATCTCATCCCGTTCGCTCACGGCAACCCGTGCGCAATGGGCTTTTGTTCAGCGTACCTGATAGCATCATTTGTTTTGCTCACCAATATATTTTGTGGCTCGTCATCGATCGCCATATTCGGTTGCTGCAGCAATGCTGTCTCCAATCTCTCACGCAAACCACGAATAGTGTTCTCCTCGTCCTGCGAGTCCGTAGTGATCTTCACCTGATAGGAGTTGATCATCGATTGATACTGAGCGATCTCGGAAGAAGTGCTCCTCCTTTCTTGTTCAGCCTTATTCCTGCTGACCAATGAGCTTTCCTCCTCGCATCTGATTCGATGTTCAAGCAGATTCACGGTCGCGGCCATCTCCTGATGTCGCTTCTCGTACTCGAGGGCCTTAACTCGGGCTTCGTCTTGGTACTCTTCGTAGATCTTCACGAGGTGTTGTGCCTGATCTTCGGATAGCTTTGTCTTCCCACGTTGAATGTCAATGTGTTGAGCAGCTTCTCGAAGTTGTTCGTCGGATCTCTTGAGGATATGGGCTACTTGTTGTTCCGACACGCCTGCTCTCCGCTCCAGTTCCTGGGCGCGCGTGACATTGCCCTGGTCGTCACGTTCATATAACTCCTGTAGCATAGCCAAATTGCGCTTCAATGGCGGGAAACCGCACGCCTGCTTGCGCTCGTCCCCTTGTTCTGGTCCTGGATGTTGCTTGCTAACCTGGCAGGCTCTGGCTAATCTTCGTGGCTCTGGCTACTCTTCGTGGCAGACGTAATCCATCCCCTGATGGCTCACAAAATAATCGCGCTTGTTTCTGGAGATGGCTGATTCCATGAGTGTGGAAGGTGGCTCTCTTCCACTTCCTGTTTGAGGGTCTTGTTCTCCTGGGTGACCTTAGACGGACTGGAGCCTGTGAACGATTTGGATCGCCCTTTTTCCTTTCTCGCAGGACTCATAACGCCCTTCACGCTCCTTCTCGGTGTCGATAATGAAGCTGAAGACGATCTCTTCTTTTCTCCGTCCTTGGACCACACGGCATGACCAACTTCCTTCCAGGATGAATGTGATAGGTCATAGCTAATACCAGAACTTGCACTTTGTTGGGTGTCCGGAGAGTCTGCAATCGCCGGCACTGCAAGCATACCTGTGGAACCGCTGGAACTGTCATTTCCGAATGTTGCAGTTCCCGGGCTTCCGGAAGAATCCATTGTACGGCTGTAAACATATTTCAAAAGGTTGTATTGTACTGCAGTTGCAATCCACCGCAGGGACCAATTTTGAACTTACGGCTGATAACCTGCCAGGAGGCGGATCAACCACGTCAAATGACAGGGCAGTTGAGGTTCGACTCCCGTGGGGTGACCAATACCCTCGACAGCAAGTCGTATAGTAGCGGTCGTGGTAAAAGGGGGTTGTAAGGTAAATGATCTGCGCCGTCTCACGACTTGATGCGACCGCGGAATACGAACCCTTTGGATGTTTGCCTCGATTCTATTATCAAGGTCTCGAGCCAAATGCATTCGCATGTACATGTCGGCTGCACACAAAACACAATCCTCCAAAAGGTTTAGGACCTTAAACAAGGGGAAGTAACAGGGTGACCCTCAGAACCTGCCCTTCGGATGTTTTAGCCTGCGGCTCGGAGATTCTTAGCAGTCAGTCTGACAGAATGCCATCGTAGGTTCTTTCCCCTTGCCTTCTCGAACCACTTGTTACAGGTGCGGCTGTAGTACTCCTCTCTGACAGCCTTGTGCCGCTTGTTGAGCTTCTTGGTCTGATCCTCAGAGATGTGGTCCGGCAGCGTGTCCTCGACATACTTGGGGAAATCCTCATCCTGTGCGAGCATCTGATGCTTGTGGATCTTGTCGGTGGTCGACTGCTCGGTTGATGGCTCATCTCCTGCGGTGGTAGTCGAGGATGTTTGTCGGCTCCCTCGTGCTAGGTAAGAGTCAGGGGCGGAACGTGACTGACTCTCCTGGCTCTATGTGCATGTCGCCGATAGAGACCTCTTCGCGCTCGGTCGTCTCTGCTGAGCCATCATCCTTGCGCTTCCCTGCCAGTAGTACGGCGTCGCTACTGGTGTCTGCCAGGTGTCTGTGACCGTGTGAGGCGCTACTCGTCGTTCTTCTGGATAAACTTCAATGTATCGCGCGTCCTCGAGACCCTCCACATTGAATCCTGCCGGAAGCTCGGCGGCTGTCGGACTGAAGAACGTGTTCCTTGGTCGAACGTGCACCCGGGTCAGGACTATGTATCCTCTGGGAAAACCCACCTGCCAGTATGTGTTGGCGCGCCATCCTTGTGCTGTTGATCTCCTTCATGATGTGGTTTGGCTGTGTGACCGTGGACTTCTGCGTGATGTGTGGTTGTAGCATCTCTCCCTGGGGTTCGTTCACCAAGATCGACTTCACCCCGGTCACTTCTTGCGGGCTGCTCCTTGTGGTAGTAGCCGGCGGTCGCACATCATTCCATGTCTTTGAGCTCTCTTCATAGATCTTCTGCTCATACCACAGCCCTTGGAGATGTTCTCCTTCATTTCCTCGGTCAAAGAGCTGTCGCCGTCCGTGGCCAGGATGTAGTGTCCTGAGTCGGTCAGCAGTAGCCTGAACATCTGTCTGACTGTCCTCTGGATCCGACTGTCAGCAGTCCATCACCGTTCTCGAAGTACTCAGTGCCCAGTTGTTGTAGTGAAGGATTCCCGACCAAGGCAGGGCACAACGAGCCTTCTCCTCCAAGAACTTCAGCTCGGAACGATATCTTCTGCCCTGATGAGACCAGAGGTAGCACAATCTCGCCAAGCGTTCGGTCTGGCTGACCGCCGACGCCCGAGACCGATGTGGTCTTGTCCCAGCTGACTACCCCTTCCTTCTCCATGCCGTGCGGAATGCGGAACGATGCAGGTATCCATGATGTCCCTGAGAGTTTATGAATCAACCAGGCCTGATGCCGCACCTGGGTCCACGATCAACTCGTTTTCGTTCCCCTCGCACAGTGAAATACTCACCAACGTGAACCTCTGTCTTATAGTGCTTGAAGACCGGAAAGTCCTGGACGCCAGTCGTCTTGATGGTGGCTCCAGTCCGCTCAGGTCGGTTGATTTGGAGCAGATCATCCTGTCTGGGCGTGCTGATGCGATGCTCTTCAGGGCGTGTCTGGTTCCTTTCTGCTGTAACAATAACGTCAGAAATATCCATACCTTGTGCTTTTGCATACCAGTGCTGATACGTCCCAATGGCAGTCGCGTAGTTCCCCTTGTAGTTGCCTTTGCCCTTGGGATGGCCAAAGCGTCCTTTGCCACAAACCGCCTTTGCCACCTTTGTGGCCGCCCTTGTAACCACCTTTGTGTCCGCCCTTGTATCCACCTTTGTATCCACCTTTGCCTCTTCCTTTGCTCTTGCCTCCTTTTCCTTTTCCCTTGTTCATGGGGCACTCGGTGGAGATGTGGCACCTGCTGCCACAGATGTAGCAGCTGCGTCCTTTGCCCTTCTTGTGCAGCATTGGGCGATTGTTCTCCACCTGGCTCCGTCGATGGTGCATCCGCCTGGGATTGGTCATAGTACTCATCGCAGTCCTCATACTCATCTTCCTCCTCATAGTTGGGGTAGTCCTCGTTCTCCTGGTAGTACTCCTCAATATAAACCATCATACCAGTCTTGGCTATACCAATCCTCATCCGCGTACATCGGCTCCTGGTAGTAGTCCTCGTTGTAGAACACATCGCTCTGGGCATCATTCTTGTCGCTGAGTCGCAGAGCCAAGGATCGGGCATCCGCGAATCGGTTGAGATTGCCTCCAATCTGCATCTTGAGGTCGTCAATCATCTTCGCCGGCAAACTTGAGCTCTTGAAGAACAGGTAGAACTTGGCAACCTCATTGATCTGAAGTCCAGCTCGATCAGCGGCCTCCTCCAGCCGCATGTCCCACTCGACTGCATACTCCTGAAAGCTCATCTTATCAAGCGATGAAGAAGCCATATCTTGATCACTCTGTCCGAAGGCATCTCTGAGCGCGTTGCACAAGCACTGCACACCTGGTGGGACGTGGGCCTGTAAGATCTGGTTGGGATTGATTGGGTCCCTGACTTCATCAACCGCCAACCTCACCAGCGCAGCGTCACCTTGATCGTAGGCTCCGTCCGGCCGCGGCACACGCAGCTGTAAAGCTATGCGGCCAGCGCGACCATGTAGCCGACCTGCCAACACACTCATCAGGACCATCACATACCCTGTACCACAGCTTCAGCTTGTCGAAGTACAAACGAAGTGGGTAATCTGGTACCCCGGGTTGCCACCCGGGAGGAACGTCTCTTCTGTACTCCGTCAAAGGAATACCTGGTGCCTGGATCGAATTCGCGTCTCCCTCCGGCCAGATGCCTGAAGCCAGGTGACCTCAGGTCTGACTCCAGCCGAGTCTGCTGCTTGCGGGTTCTCGGGCTCCTCCGCGCCTTCTCTGCCTCCTTCGGCTCCCTCAGCGAGGCGAGCCGTCCCCCAGCGACGAGGGACCAGTAGCCTCGCGAGAGGCTCCGGCAAATGGCGCCGGAAAACCCCAAATTGGCGCGGAGCAGCTTACCCGCTCCGCTACCAAAATCGCTTTCACTCGAGCTCAAGGCCTGCGTGACAACTTCACTGGGGCCTTTAAAATCTGCTGACCCACCTGCTTTCCATCAAGCGTAAGACTCATGAAGTTCACCACCTCCTTGCTTGCCATCTTGTGGAAATCGACCTTGATGTCGCTCAGATTGATTCCTCTCCTCACAGGGGAAATGACACCGAAAGCGAGTCTCACACAAAGGTCAGAAACATGACTGCAAAGCAAAACACGGGCAAAGTGTTTAGAGAAGGCACTTCAGCATACTGCATGCATCCACCAAATCACCAGCGCGGCGGCCACCTTACTGGAACTCTATGCTCACGCAACAAAGGGAAGCATTCAAAACAACAGCTTGACAGAAGCCTGAAGCATTGCCTGCCACAGCACAATTGTCAATAATTGCTGCCGCGGCCGACTCGTGCTCGTGCATCTTGAGCAACTCACTTGCCTCCTTCTCGGTCATGTTGCTCACCCAAATGTTGAATCTGCGACCGCCAGCATCAAACGCCAGAGCCGAGGCAGCAAATGAGGCGGCCACCAGCACCTGAAATGCATTGAGACTGGAAAAGCGGCGACTCAACAAGGAAGTCAGAGTTGATTCATGCATTGACTATCAGCCGCGGGACATGTGCCGTTGCGGCGTAGCGTGAATCACTCGACATGTCCTTCGCTGTGGTGGAAACCAACTTCATCCCCTCCTCCTTACCTCAGGGGAGTTGCTTGCAAACGCTGACGCTATTCACAAAGTGCGCGCAGGCCTCCTTTGGTGTCGCGAGGAATGTCCAGAAGCAGGATAGGATATTGGGTCAGGTTCTTTGCAAACTTCTTCTTTTGCAACTTGGCGCGGACACGACGAAGCACCTCGGCAAACATGTTCGCCCTTCACTCCAAGCATTTGGTACATGGCAGGCTTCCAGTCTTCCACCTCGACCGTGAAGGCCCACACACCACAAACACCGCGCAAGGCCTCTTCCACGGCCACAGTCTTGCCGGATTTGTAGCGGCCACTCACGATGGTCGCGTCGGACTTCTGCCGCCAGCTGCTCAGCCTATGTCGGATGTCATCTACGACCTTTCGTGGGACGACCTCGTCCGGAGACATGGCTGGCTCATAGGGTGCCATGAGCTTCTTTACGGCCAGACGCTTGATGCGAAAGTCCGAGGAGGCATACGTGAATGCAAGGCCTAGGCCAGACACCACAAAGCCTGCAACAGCCAGGGAAAAGTCTCGTATATCGCGAATGTCAGCTGTCCTGTTGGGCGCAGCATGCATTGCCCTTTGTATCACAGCTCGAAGCTGCGGCCACGCCTTCAGTTGGGTCAGTGGCGCGCTGGGCCGTCTTCTGCAACTCACCGGTTTTGCCTTGCTCGACGCAAAAGCACTTTAGCATGAGTAATTTCAATCAACTACGATGCAGTCAAAGCGGCCCAGCTGTGTCCGATGAAATGGCCGCCTCCACCGCGATTCGCTCTGCCACTGAGGGCGGATGCCTTCTGCGGAAAGGGCGAGTACAACCAAGCACACACAAAGCTAAACTCCCCAGCCTCTGGCAGCAGGGTGAAGTCCGTCTGCGGCAAGCTGAAACAAGCTGCTGCAGCAATCGCGCAGAACAATGGCGCACTTCCTTTGCGGCGTCTCATGGCCATCACTGCATGTGCAGGAAAGGTCAACAACGCAATGTTTCCATAAAGGGTAAGCAGCTGAATGCATGTGCGATAAGATTGAGAAACCACGACGTCCAACACAGCTGAAGCCATCGTGCGACAGAGACTTTTGCAACTGCGCTCACGAGCCCCAAAAGTCCAGCACGCTGAACCAAAGGACCCACCTTCTGCATCGGAGCGGGGTCTAGGGTTTTGTGGCCTTGAAGGTTTAGGGGGTGAGCAGGCCGACACTTTTGAGAAGCCTTGCCTCTTGGTAGGACGCCGACATCTGCTGTTCAAATCCCTCTAAAACTGATCCTGCAACTAAACGCTGAACCTAAACCCTGAGAGTCCAAACGCCCAGCAGGCTCCAGTTCTGAGATGATTGTTTGCACAGCTCTTCAGAGCCAACCCTTTTCTCAAAAACTGTTCCATCATACAGAAACCCAAACTCAACCGCTGCGCGCAAAGAACCAAAATAACTGTCTGCAACAAGGCGGCACAAGAACCTACCATGAGGCAACTTCCTCGTGCAAGCTTTTCAGGGCATCTTCTGTTTGGCGATTGTCGCGTGCAAGCTTGAAGCAAACCTGTAAATCATCTCTGTAGGATGCCATATGATGGCATGCGCGTTCTTATCGCGAATGAGCTTTGCAATTTCGCGTGGCTCATAGGCGGTAGTACTGATGACTGCCTCAATGCCTGCGCCTCCGATTTCAAGCAGGGCCTTTAAAATCTGCTGACCCACCTGCTTTCCATCAAGCGTAAGACTCATGAAGTTCACCACGTCCTTGCTTGCCATCTTGTGGAAGCGCTGCTTGATGTTGCTCAGATTGATTCCTCTCCTCAGAGGGGAAATGACGCCGAAAGCGAGTCTCACACAAAGGTCAGAAACGTGACTGCAAAGCAAAACGGGCAAAGTGTTTAGAGAAGGCACTTCAGCATACTGCATGCATCCACCAAATCACCAGCGCGGCGGCCACCTTACTGGAACTCAACAAAGGGAAGCATTCAAAACAACAGCTTGACAGAAGCCTGAAGCATTGCCTGCCACAGCACAATTGTCAATGATTGCTGTCGCGGCCGACTCCTGCTGCTCGTGCAGCTTGAGCAACTCACTCGCCTCCTTCTCGGTCATGTCGCCCACCCAGATGTCGAATCTGCGACCGCCAGCATCAAACGCCAGAGCCGAGGCAGCAGATGAGGCGGCCACCAGCACCTGAAATGCATTGAGACTGGGAAAGCGGCGACTCAACAAGGAAGTCAGAGTTGATTCATGGATTGACTATCAGCCGCGGGACATGTGCCGTTGCGGCGTAGCGTGAATCACTCGACATGTCCTTCGCTGTGGTGGAAACCAACTTCATCCCCTCCTCCTTACCTCAGGGGAGCTGCTTGCAAACGCGGACGCTATTCACAAAGTGCGCGCAGGCCTCCTTTGATGTCGCGAGGAATGTCCAGAAGCAGGATGGGATATTGGGTCAGGTTCTTTGCAAACTTCTTCTTTTGCAACGTGGCGCGGACACGACGAAGCACCTCGGCAAACATGTTCGCGTCCTTCACTCCAAGCATTTGGCACATGGCAGGCTTCCAGTCTTCCACCTCGACCGTGAAGGCCCACACACCACAAACACCGCGCAAGGCCTCTTCCACGGCCACAGTCTTGCCGGATTTGTAGCGGCCACTCACGATGGTCGCGTCGGACTTCTGCCGCCAGCTGCTCAGCCTATGTCGGATGTCATCTACGACCTTTCGTGGGACGACCTCGTCCGGAGACATGGCTGGCTCATAGGGTGCCATGAGCTTCTTTACGGCCAGACGCTTGATGCGAAAGTCCGAGGAGGCATACGTGAATGCAAGGCCTGCAGCAGACCACAAGAAACTCCATGCGTTGCTCGCTGCCCACATTCTTGACACCCACTATGAGAGCGGGAATTAGCATTGGGCCGGATGGCCACGCCCTGACATGGGTCGGCGGCGTGCTGGGCCGTCTTCTGCAACTCACCGGTTTTGCCTTGCTCGACGCAAAAGCACTTTAGCATGAGTAATTTCAATCAACTACGATGCAGTCAAAGCGGCCCAGCTGTGTCCGATGAAATGGCCGCCTCCACCGCGATTCGCTCTGCCACTGAGGGCGGATGCCTTCTGCGGAAAGGGCGAGTACAACCAAGCACACACAAAGCTCCTGAAACTCCCCAGCCTCTGGCACCAGAGTAAAGTCTGTCTGCGGCAAACTGAAACAAGCTGCTGCAGCAATCGCGCAGAACAATGGCACACTTCCTTTGCGGCGTCTCATGGCCATCACTGCATGCGCAGGAAAGGTCAACAACGCAATGTGTCCATAAAGGGTAAGCAGCTGAATGTATGTGCGATAAGATTGAGAAACCACGACGTCCAACACAGCTGAAGCCATCGTGCGACAGAGACTTTTGCAACTGCGCTCACGAGCCCCAAACGTTCAGCACGCTGAACCGAAGGACCCACCTTCTCCATCGAAGCGGGGTCTAGGGTTTGTGGCCTTGAAGGTTTAGGGGGTGAGCAGGCCGACACTGTTGAGAAGCCTTGCCTCTTCGTAGGACGCCGACATCTGCTGTTCAAATCCCTCTAAAACTGATCCTGAAACTAAACGCTAAACCTAAACCCTGAGAGCCCAAACGCCCAGCGGGCTCCAGTTCTGATGGTTGTTTGCACAGCTCTTCAGAGCCAACCCTTTTCTCAAAAACTGTTCCATCACACAGAAACCCAAACTCAACCGCTGCGCTCAAAGAACCAAAATAACTGTCTGCAACAAGGCGGCACATCAACCTACCATGAGGCAACTTCCTCGTGCAAGCTTTTCAGGGCATCTTCTGTTTGGCGATTGTCGCGTGCAAGCTTGAAGCAAACCTGTAAATCATCTCTGTAGGATGCCATATGATGGCATGCGCGTTCTTATCGCGAATGAGCTTTGCAATTTCGCGTGGCTCATAGGCGGTAGTATTGATGACTGCCTTAATGCCTGCGCCTCCGCTCTGAAGCAGTGCGTGTAAAATCTGCTGACCCACCTGCTTTCCATCAAGTGTAAGACTCATGAAGTTCACCACGTCTTTTTCTGCCATATTGTGGAAGCGCTGCTTGATGTTGCTCAGATTGAGTTCTCTCCTCAGAGGGAAATGACACCGAAAGCGAGTCTCACGCAAAGGTCAGAAACGTGACTGCAAAGCAAAACACGGGCAAAGTGTTTAGAGAAGGCACTTCAGCATACTGCATGCATCCACCAAATCACCAGCGCGGCGACCACCTTACTGGAACTCTATGCTCACGCAACAAAGGGAAGCATTCAAAAAAAACTTGACAGAAGCCTGAAGCATTGCCTGCCACAGCACAATTGTCAATGATTGCTGTCGCGGCCGACTCGTGCTCGTGCATCTTGAGCAACTCACTCGCCTCCTTCTCGGTCATATCGCCCACCCAGATGTCGAATCTGCGACCGCCAGCATCAAACGCCAGAGCCGAGGCAGCAGATGAGGCGGCCACCAGCACCTGTCATGCATTGAGACTGGGAAAGCGGCGACTCAACAAGGAATTCAGAGTTGATTCATGGATTGACTATCAGCCGCGGGACATGTGCCGTTGCGGCGTAGCGTGAATCACTCGACATGTCCTTCGCTGTGGTGGAAACCAACTTCATCCCCTCCTCCTTACCTCAGGGGAGTTGCTTGCAAACGCTGACGCTATTCACAAAGTGCGCGCAGGCCTCCTTTGGTGTCGCGAGGAATGTCCAGAAGCAGGATAGGATATTGGGTCAGGTTCTTTGCAAACTTCTTCTTTTGCAACTTGGCGCGGACACGACGAAGCACCTCGGCAAACATGTTCGCGTCCTTCACTCCAAGCATTTGGTACATGGCAGGCTTCCAGTCTTCCACCTCGACCGTGAAGGCCCACACACCACAAACACCGCGCAAGGCCTCTTCCACGGCCACAGTCTTGCCGGATTTGTAGCGGCCACTCACGATGGTCGCGTCGGACTGCTGCCGCCAGCTGCTCAGCCTATGTCGGATGTCATCTACGACCTTTCGTGGGACGACCTCGTCCGGAGACATGGCTGGCTCATAGGGTGCCATGAACTTCTTACGGCCAAACGCTTCATGCGAAAGTCCGAGGAGGCATACGTGAATGCAAGGCCTGCAGCAGACCACAAGAAACTCCATGCGTTGCTCGCTGCCACATTCTTGACACCCACTATGAGAGCGGGAATTAGCATTGGGCCGGATGGCCATGCCCTGACATGGGTCGGCGGCGTGCTGGGCCGTCTTCTGCAACTCACCGGTTTTGCCTTGCTCGACGCAAAAGCACTTTAGCATGAGTAATTTCAATCAACTACGATGCAGTCAAAGCGGCCCAGCTGTGTCCGATGAAATGGCCTCCTCCACCGCGATTCGCTCTGCCACTGAGGGCGGATGCCTTCTGCGGAAAGGGCGAGTACAACCAAGCACACACAAAGCTCCTGAAACTCCCCAGCCTCTGGCACCAGAGTAAAGTCTGTCTGCGGCAAACTGAAACAAGCTGCTGCAGCAATCGCGCAGAACAATGGCACACTTCCTTTGCGGCGTCTCATGGCCATCACTGCATGCGCAGGAAAGGTCAACAACGCAATGTGTCCATAAAGGGTAAGCAGCTGAATGCATGTGCGATAAGATTGAGAAACCACGACGTCCAACACAGCTGAAGCCATCGTGCGACAGAGACTTTTGCAACTGCGCTCACGAGCCCCAAACGTCCAGCACGCTGAACCGAAGGACCCACCTTCTCCATCGGAGTGGGGTGTAGGGTTTTGTGGCCTTGAAGGTTTAGGGGGTGAGCAAGCCGACACTTTCGAGAAGCCTTGCCTCTTAGTACTCGGCTGTTCAAATCCCTCTAAAACTGATCCTGAAGCTAAACCCTACATTCTGAGAGCCCAAACACCAGTTCTGAGATGGTTGTTCGCACAGCTCTTCAGAGCCAACCCTGTTCTCAAAAACTGTTCCATCACACAGAAACCGAAACTCAATCGCTGCGCGCAAAGAACCAAAATAGCTGTCTGCAACAAGGCGGCACATCAACCTACCATGAGGCAACTTCCTCGTGCAAGCTTTTCAGGGCATCTTCTGTTTGGCGATTGTCGCGTGCAAGCTTGAAGCAAACCTGTGAATCATCTCTGTAGGATGCCATATGATGGCATGCGCGTTCTTATCGCGAATGAGCTTTGCAATTTCGCATGGCTCATAGCGCCGGTCCTCTGGTCTTGTACTGGAAGGCTCCCTTCCTCATGCCTGCGCCCTCCCCTCTCCGATTTCAGCTGTGGGCCCTTTATTAATCTGCTGACCCACCTGCTTTCTTCCATCAAGCGTAAGACTCATGAAGTTCACCACGTCCTTGCTTGCCATCTTGTGGAAGCGCTGCTTGATGTCGCTCAGATTGATTCCTCTCCTCAGAGGGGAAAGACACCGAAAGCGAGTCTCACACAAAGGTCAGAAACGTGACTGCAAAGCAAAACGGGCAAAGTGTTTAGAGAAGGCACTTCAGCATACTGCATGCATCCACCAAATCACCAGCGCGGCGGCCACCTTACTGGAACTCAACAAAGGGAAGCATTCAAAACAACAGCTTGACAGAAGCCTGAAGCATTGCCTGCCACAGCACAATTGTCAATGATTGCTGTCGTGGCCGACTCGTGCTGCTCGTGCAGGTTGAGCAACTCACTCGCCTCCTTCTCGGTCATGTCACCCACCCAGATGTCGAATCTGCGACCGCCAGCATCAAATGCCAGAGCCGAGGCAGCAGATGAGGCGGCCACCAGCACCTGAAATGCATTGAGACTGGGAAAGCGGCGACTCAACAAGGAAGTCAGAGTTGATTCATGGATTGACTATCAGCCGCGGGACATGTGCCGTTGCGGCGTAGCGTGAATCACTCGACATGCCTCGGCAAACATGTTCGCGTCCTTCACTCCAAGCATTTGGTACATGGCAGGCTTCCAGTCTTCCAGCTCGACCGTGAAGGCCCACACACCACAAGCACCGCAAGGCCTCTTCCACGGCCACAGTCTTGCCGGTGTTTCACTTGAATTGCAACCTCACGTCAATGGTCGACGTCGGACTTCTGCCGCAGGCTGAGCTGCATGCTTGGTATGGGGAGAATCGGATGTCATAGTTTGTACGCCGTTTCGTGAGCGGACGGCGTCGTTTCCGGAGTGACAGGCTGGTCTTGCATAGGGGGTGCCATGAACTTCTTTACTGGCCGCAAACGCTTTGCATGCGAAAGTCCGATGGGAGGCGATAGGTTGAGATGGCAAGGCCTGGCAGCAGACACAAGAGAAACTCCATGCGTTGCTCGCTGCCTCACATTCTTGACACCCACGCACTGATGAGGCGGGAAATTAGCATTTGGGCCGGCTCTGCCGGGAGGGCGGAATGCCTTCTGCGGAAAGGACCAGAGGTACAACCAAGCACACAAAAGCTCACTTGGAAACTCCCCAGGACTTGGCAGCAGAGTAAAAATCTTGATCTGCGGCAAGCTGACAACAAGCCTGCCTTGCAGGCAATCGCGCACGGAAATTCTGGCACACTTCCTTTGCGGCGTCTCATGGCCATCACTGCATGCGCAGGAAAGGTCAACAACGCAATGTGTCCATAAAGGGTAAGCAGCTGAATACATGTGCGATAAGATTGGGAAACCACGACGCCCAACACAGCTGAAGCCATCGTGCGACAGAGACTTTTGCAACTGCGCTCACGAGCCCCAAACGTCCAGCACGCTGAACCGAAGGGCCCACCTTCTCCATCGGAGCGGGGTCTAGGGTTTTGTGGCCTTGAAGGTTTAGGGGGTGAGCAGACACTTTTGAGAAGCCTTGCCTCTTGGTAGGACGCCGACATCTGCTGTTCAAATCCCTCTAAAACTGATCCTGAAACTAAACGCTAAACCTAAACCCTGAGAGCCCAAACGCCCAGCCGGCTCCAGTTCTCAGATGATTGTTTGCACAGCTCTTCAGAGCCAACCCTTTTCTCAAAAACTGTTCCATCACACAGAAACCCAAACTCAACCGCTGCGCGCAAAGAACCAAAATAACTGTCTGCAACAAGGCGGCACATCAACCTACCATGAGGCAACTTCGTCGTGCAAGCTTTTCAGGGCATCTTCTGTTTGGCGATTGTCGCGTGCAAGCTTGAAGCAAACCTGTAAATCATCTCTGTAGGATGCCATATGATGGCATGCGCGTTCTCATCGCGAATGAGCTTTGCAATTTTGCGTGGCTCATAGGCGGTAGTATTGATGACTGCCTCAATGCCTGCGCCTCCGATTTCAAGCAGGGCCTTTAAAATCTGCTGACCCACCTGCTTTCCATCAAGCGTAAGACTCATGAAGTTCACCACGTCCTTGCTTGCCATCTTGTGGAAGCGCTGCTTGATGTCGCTCAGATTGATTCCTCTCCTCAGAGGGGAAATGACACCGAAAGCGAGTCTCACACAAAGGTCAGAAACGTGACTGCAAAGCAAAACACGGGCAAAGTGTTTAGAGAAGGCACTTCAGCATACTGCATGCATCCACCAAATCACCAGCACGGTGGCCACCTTGCTGGAACCCTATGCTCACGCAACAAAGGGAAGCATTGAAGATAAAAAATGACAGAAGCCTGAAGCATTGCCTGCCACAGCACAATTTTCAATGATTGCTGTCGCGGCCGACTCGTGCTCGTGCATCTTGAGCAACTCACTCGCCTCCTTCTCGGTCATGTCGCCCA